CCCCCCCCATTCAGTCACTGGTTAGATACGATCTACACCAAAACTTCTAGTTAATTTAGATTTTTTAAAGTTCCATAAAAACAAAAATGATTTCATGTACTTGATAGATAAAAATAGCTGGTTTTTAATGCCTTAACTTTAAAATTATTTTAATAAGTTTTTGATTAGGTAGGTAGATTTTTACATTTGTATTTTTGATAGATATAAATAGATAACATGATGATTACATTAAAGAGATAGCATACATCTTTGTTCTTTGGTCCCTATTTTTCTTCAGGCTCTGGAATATGTAAGCTCTGCAAATTAAACCCTGATTTGCAGCCAATCCATCACCTCCCTGTCTAGGGTACACATGACTTGCTCAGACCAAGGTTTTAGTATTCCTTCTACTAAGTTGACTTTAAATAAGTAGAAGAAAAATATCATTTTTCTTTTTTTCCCCTTCCCAACCACTTCAAAATGTAAAGATAATGGCTTTCAGTCCACACAAAAACATGTGCTCTGGCAGGAACTGGCCTTTAGGGGATGCTTTGCTAACCCAAAGAATAACTGATAATAACCTAAATGGGTTATTGTGAAGCAGACATTTAGCACACACTAACTCTGATCTTTGATAGGTACTGGTATTCCAAATTTACCTGGGAAGAGACTCATTAGCAGAAAATTCAGCTGCCTGATGTCCAGCGAATCTCGGTTCAGAGCCCGTGTGTGTTCCACCAAACCAGGATGCTCTCTTGTTGGGATAGTCATTCTTTACTGACCCCTGCTCTGAGCCTGCACCATGCCTTTCACATCCATGATGTCATTTAGCCTTCACAATAACATTTTTAATATGTATGATTATACTCATTTCATACATGCAGAAGTTGACTTTAAATAAGTTCAATAAACTGTCCAGGTCACTGACCTCATAGTGGTGCAGCTGAGTGACATGCCTACGATATTACCCCAAAGCTGATATTCTTTCCACTGGTCCAAGAAGGTATATGTTCTATCATGGCAGTTAGTGATTATCGGATGCTCACTATGTGCCAGGCAGTATTTTAAGCCCTCTGCATAGATGACTTATTAAATTCACACATCACTGTAGAGAGATACTGTTACTAACGTCATTCCCATTTACAAATGACAAAAGTAAAGGACAGAGCTTTGATCACATGCCCAAGTTTACATGTTCAAAAACCTTAAAAATTCAGTTTTGCTTCAGAGTCCACGTGCTTGTCCACTATTGCAACTTCCTAACTTCCATCAGTCTTCTTTCTTCTTATACTAACACTATAGATTAGCACTAGCGTGACCTGAGAGAAATATAAAAATTCTGTGATTACTACAACCAACAAATTTTATTACTAAGACATTAATTATTCTTTCACGTTACTCACTTAATACACATACATGCACGTGACAAAATCAAGTTAATATCTCAATTAATAAAAACTCATTTTAGGGGGCTAGGCAAATTGACAAGGCTAAGAAAAATCAAAGCTTTAAAAGAACCTGTTTACAGATCTGTGATACCAAGTAGAGCAATAACGCTTGTTCCTCTTCTGTAAACAATTCTGTAATCTTGGAGTCTAAAAACGGAAGGTGAGTCTCTTGAAGCGGTAGGAGAATATGTAACCAGTGTACAGTTTGCTCTCTCTTTGAGTCAAGTGAATTTCCTCTTCGGTTGTTGTGTTTTCTGTTCCTCTATGGCTGATGGTGACTTCTTTCTACTTATATGTGGAAATGTGTCCACAAAGGTTTTCCATACTGCTTGGGGTCACTTTGTTTCATTCATTCACTTTTCCAGTCATTCATAGATTCATCTGTTGTTGATCACATTATATGCAATGCAGGTGGGGCATACTGAAATTAAGGGAAAAAA